TATTATCATGTTCAATCTTGTGGTTGCTCTTGCGGAAAAAACATGCATGTGCATCCATGTTCTTTGTTTCAGCAGAAAACTCAGTGGAACATATGTCGAAGCCTATCTTTATTCCCCTAGTTTAATTAAAGTGGAGCAGAAAGAGATGAGGGAGCTGTTATTCCTGATCTGTCCCTCAGCCCACTGTAAGACAGCCCTTAATGGCTGCAGCTCCAGTACAATCTCCTGAGAGGAACAGCATATAACATACAACAGATGGGAATGCTTAATAAATGTGTTGCACTGTTACAATCCCTTGTACTTGCCATTTGAAGAGTACCAGGAGTGAATGTTGATAACTCACTATTTATGTAACCTGACTGTTATTATGTACCAGACTTCTGTATCAGACTATAGTACATGATCATATTATTGTTGCACCTTTAATAACTATGGAATTTTTTTTTTTAATGGATCATTGTGATCCCTGTGGTTCTTGACTGTGGAAAAGAGGTTGTAGAGGCACCTCATAGTTACTCTCAAATGAATAATAATCAGAAATATTTATTGAGCATGAAATCAGCATGATTTCTGAAGGATTGTATGACACTGATTAATGTAATGGCTTCTGAAAATTCAACTTTGCAATTACAGGAATAAATTACATTTTAAAACAAAACAAAAAAATCCAAATAATATGTACCATAGTACTTTTTGGCTAGTTTGGCATTTTTTAGATTTATATCTCATTACAGTTAAATAGATGGTGACATCACACCTTCTATAAAGCGCCCTCCTGAATGAAGGACTTTAGTGCACATAATAAAGAGTAGTGTGCAAGTCAGTCACTGCAAACTCAGTCAGCACATTGTAGTCCATTAAGTCGCCTTGCTCTTATTCGATTGTGAGCTGCTTTTCTGTCCCTCTGCCAAGAGTCTCCATTGGGACTTTCCCTGCTCTTAGCGGCCTGTCAATTGTCTTATGGCTCTGGGGCAGTTCAGGCAGAGAAAGAAAGAGAAAGAGGGAAAGGAGGGAGAGGGAGTGCATTATGCCAGAAGCAGTCATTTCTGGTTAGTCATCAGCTTCACACACTACCTGAGGTCATTGAGGCATCACAGGACCTGAATTACAGCTGAATACATAAGCAAATGAACATTCGCCTCTAAAAATCCAATCGAGTTTTGACCGTAAACAAGCAGTCAACAGTTCACCAAGTAGATCAGCTGCTGCAACTCATGACAAGACGTGTGTATTATGACCGACTTAATTCTTGATGTGTATTGTGTGTGAGAGAGTAAGTTTGACTTTTTTTGTCTGAACTTTCCATGTTTCATGAGTAACAGTTATTAGAGCTTTTGTTTAGGTCCAGCTTCACTTCTAACCATGGCATGACTATATATATATATATATACTCACTCTTAAAATGTCTTTCTCTCGCTCCAGTGCGGATGTAAACCCAGAACATCATGTAAAGATTCTTGAGGCACTTATCATGGTTGGAGGCCTAGTGGAGATACAAGCTGCTCCAGGTAGGATATCAGAGGTTCTCATCATTTTATTAATCTTCTGTAGGTTTATCTTCTTGGATGATTTTTTATTTGTGTACTTTGTATTTTTAATAACACATTTTTGGGATTATGATTGTAAGCTTACTGCATCACCCAATTCTTCCTTTTAAAGAAACCAGTGGGTTTTTATATTCCATTCATTTTTGCTTTATTGGCACTGATAGCTAGGGTTAATTATAAAGAATTATCATAATTATCTATAGATTTTTGATTTTGTCCAAACAAGTTATGTTTGTCTTTGAGGATGGACATTTCTGGAAGTAGATGTGAAAGTCTTCTGTGGGTGTAGGCCTAAATGTGTGTGTGTGTAAGGAAGAGAGGTTGATAAAAGTGGTTGGTTGATGAGGACTTAATACATTTTCATGGTAAGCTTGTGAGGGCTAAAATAATTAGTAATAGTTCACGATACTTGCATCTATAGGTACTTGCATTGATGCAGGCCTGATGAAGCTCGGTTGTTATGGATCTTCTGGCTCGACACTCTCTACTTTCATTATTTAGAATCCAAACATTGAGTTTCAGTCATTGAACTTCTGCAATATAATATAAATTAATATAGGTTTATTAGATGTCTGGAGTCCCAGGTAGTCCTAGGAGGTTAACATTAGCCTCAGCTTTTTATAATAAAGGAGTACATTAAATGTGAATTATATCAGTTCAGCACAATACAGTGGAGGATTTATGGTTTCCATTTTGATGCACTTAAGCAACTCACTTTGGGCAAACTTGAGCAATTATGAATGATGTACATTAATTTCAGAATTTGCAGCACAGCATTTTTGGGTTTGTAAATCAGCAAGCATGGATAAACATATGGGTTCACAACAAAGCTGACAAATACTTTAATTCACAGTGTAACATAAATTTGTTTGTACCCAATTTTCTCTCTCAGAGACAGAGCTCAGCATTTAAGTTGGTCAAAATTCATTTTAAAAGGTAACTGGAAACGTTGGGCAACGCAGTCTCTGATACAGAGGCTTAGTTTGGGGTGAAGTAACAGACTAGAACTTAGAGCTTATAAATGCACCATCCATGGACACATACATAGATTTATGGGTTCTGGTGTGACCTTCTCTTGCTGCTGTGGGGTCATAACCTTAGCCCCAAAGCAAGACTAGGAGTAATGATTCCAGTGGCAAGCTTGAGCCTTACTTAGAACTAACAGTCATGGTCAGAAACATTTACCCCTAAACTATATTCAGTGATTTAATTCGATTGGCTGTCATATACACTACTGTTACTGTTATTTTTTAATGTTTTTGAAAGAAATGTCTTATGATCACCAAGGCTGCATTTATTAACATAATTGTTTATTTAAAATATAAAAATAAAACAAGTAATACTGTAAAATATTACAATTTAATTAACTGTTTATTTTATTTTATTATATTTTCAAATGTAATTCATTCATTTGATGGCAAATCTGAATTTTGAGCAGCCATTACTCCATTCTGATATGCTAATTTGGTGCCTAAAAACTTTCTATATTATTTATCATTGTTGATAGCACATTTGCTGCTTAGTATTTTCTGGAAACAGTGATATATTTTTTCAGGGTTCTCTGGTGAATAGAAAGTTCTAAAGAAAAGCATTTTCTTTAATTGAAAACTTTTGTAACCTTAAAAATCTCTTTACTGTCACTTATGATCAATTTAATGTTTTCTTGATAAATAAAATTATGAATTTCTTTCAAAACAAAATTGTATTGACACCTTTTGAATGGTAGCATATTAACTTTCAGTTTAAAAATATAATAATTTTGAACAATAGAAAAAAAAAATTATTCCACTTGCATATTTTACATGCATAGTACTACTAGCCCTCGAGCATCCTCGTGAATTTGTGTGGATAAATAAACTCAGAATTTGCAGAGACTGTGAGCACAGGCTCTCTTTTCTAATGGTTTCATCATCTCTTTCACTAAAGGCTACATTAACTGGGGTCAGAGGGCAAAGGAGCCTGGATGGGTGGCCTACAAGCAGAGTGAACCTCTTCACAGCCAAAAATGTGATTCATACAAAACACAAAAGAGCAACTAGAGCAAAAAATAGGTTAGAATGCATCCATTCGCACGATAACCCATCAGCTTATGTATGACTTTCTTTTTGGAGGTAGCCAGTAATGTCCCTAGAGTGCTTTAGCAAACAACTGACCCCTCCTGTGCCTCCAGCTGTCTAGTTTGGCCCTAATATGTTCAAGCTTGGTAAAGTTTGTTGGCAAAACATTGCGTTTAAAGAGCAATCTTTTGGGGGCCACATCAGGCTCACTCTCTCTTGGATGACTGCACTTGTCAAATGCTGATGGATTCACTGTGTCTGTTAGCATGGGCTCTAAAGAAAAAGAGAGAGAGGAAACAAAAAGGAAAGTGGGCAAATACAAGTAAGCAAGGAGAAGGGTATGACGACAGTTTAGGAAGGGTCACAGCCACTCTTATGGTATTTCTGTCACTGTCAGGGACTTCATGAACGTGCGTCAAATTCTGACATGGAAAAGAATAAATTGTTGAGTAAAGTTGATATTTTTGTTTTCTTTGCACACAAAAAGTTGCTCATAGCTTCATAAAATTAAGGTTGAACCACTGATGTCACATAGACTGTTTTACCGATATCCTTACTACCTTTCTGGGCCTTGACCGTGGTAGTTCCGTTGCCGTCTATGGAGGGTCAGAAAGCTCTCGGATTTCATCAAAAATATCTTAATTTGTGTTCCAAAGATGAACGAAGGTCTTA